AAACCCTTAGCACTAAACCCTAAACCTGAAACCTAAGTCCTAAACCCCCCAAACCCGACACCTAAGCTCTTGAAATGTGGAGATACCTCAGGTCTTCCGTGCCATGCGGGAGTCTGTGAGGGAGGACGCGTGGTAGGTTGTCAGTTGGTTCCGGCTTTTTGGAGTATTGGTGAGTCTATGTTTTGGGATTTTGATATTTGTTTACTATGGGGTAGGTGTCCGGGCCAGCACATCAAAAAATTGCAGGAATTTGCTCCCTCGGCGCAACTTGTCCACATCTTCTGACGACTCGGCTGACTCCCGCCTTGCCTTGCAAGACCTCCAACAACTTTCCGCTCTGAGCGCCTTCCAACAGCAAGTCGCGTGTCTGAAGCCGCAACTTGTCTAGATCTTCGTCTGTTTTCTTGCTTGCTCGTTCTTGGCGCTGCTCTCAGCCAGCACATCATACCAAAACTGTCAGGTCCATCTGATCTAGACCATGATTCCGAAGTTCTCAACCCCAAATGTGCAAATAAAGAGCCTTGTATAGAAGCCAAAATAATAAGTACCGATACTGTTTTTGCGGTAGGGCCCCTATATTACGCTCGAGAGCATACACCTGGAGATGTCTAGCACCTCAGAAAGCTTTGCTGGAGGAGACCCGGGTGGGTCAAACCGCTTTGGGCTGGGTGAGCACACTGCGGGTTGCCTGGCAAGCATTTCAGGGCGGCATAATTCTGCTCGGGGTTCAGAGTTGATAAATCATGGCTTCGCATTTTCGGTGATGGGCTTTGGTTTCTGGGTTGGTCTAAGGTTAGCAGTATGGGCCCCTACAGTGGACCCTGTGCTGGACCTTGTGAGGGTTCAAACAGGGAATATAGTAGGTATAATAAAGATCCCAGGGTTAAGGGCCCATACCTTTTTCGCGTGGCCCGTGTGGCATCCCCTCGATCGGTGGGGCTGATTGGAGGTGTCAGGGTCTAGAAAGTCGGGTTGGAGAGGGCTGTACTGCATGGAGTGGAGATAGACGATAGTATGAGCAGGCCTGGGCGCCTCGCACAAGAATGTAGGAAGATTCCTCATGTAAGCTTAGAGCAGCATGGCTAAGCATGAGACAGCATGCGCCACCGTCATACAGGCAACCTGGTCACAACGTAAGTGGAGGGATGCTACAATGTCAGCAGTAGCACCACCATGTATCATGACAAGCTGCCGGCAGCAATGTTGGAGCCTTTACCCGTAAACTTTAGCAGAAAAGGAACCCTTATAGGTAGCCCTTAAAGGAACCCTGTAGGTACACTCAAAGGAACCCCTGATAGGTAGCCCTTAAAGCAACCCCTTATAGGTACCATCAGCACATCATCATCGGATACTGCCCCGAATGGAAGGGCGTAGGGGCTTGGGTTCGGGCACAGAGCTTAATATAGGGGCCTCTATAAGTACCTATACTATTTTTTTTTGGGGGGGGTTCCTTATTATGATTAGAATTAGAGTATAATGGGCTCCAAAACCTTATTTTAGTTATTGAGGCCCTTACATTGCAGCTTATTGCTACTTAGGTCGGCCCGCTGACATCCGGTTTGTTGGTTGAAGGGCTTCCAATATAATCAGGGATCAATACTTGAGGGTTTAGGGTTTAGGGCTTAGGTATCCCCTTGTAGTCCTCAGATACAACTCTAGTGTAATATACCTCAGAACCCTTTTCTAAGTTTAAATGACGGCCCCTGTATACCTTCATTGCAAACTCCTATATGCACCTCTTGATCCTAAACCCGAAACCCGAAACTACGCGAGTGTAAACATTAAGTTCCAAATCCTAAACCACTGAACCCTAAACCCTACAGAACCTCCGAGCCCCCTCAAGCCTAAACCCTACCGTCAACTACCACAACCTACCATGTTTTAAAAGGTTCAAGTTACAAAGTTTTTCGGTAGCTCAAGGTATAGCACAGTCCCGAAAGTCTGGGAACTGGAAAGCCCGTCGTCTTGGGGTATAGCCTTAAACCCAAAGCCATGAACGGCCCTAACGGCGGGTTTAGAGTTGAGGGTTTAGGGCCCTAGCTGCTGAGGCGATGCACCTGTGTGTGCGGGTGTGTTCTAAATCCTAAACCTCTATGGCACGACCCCTGAGCTGCAAATCCTACACAACAGGTAACCCTTGTACTGCCTAAACCCTAAACCCTAAATACTAAACCCTAAACCCTAAACCGTCTTATACCGAGTCTTGAATGCGACCCCAAGCCCTAAACCCGGCAGATTTGTGTTGAAACCCTTGCAGGAACGCTGTAGGAAAACCCTGAACCCTGGTCCTCTGAGGGCAGCATGAAAGCAGTACGCGAGCTGGAGCACTTTGTGCTGGAGGCCTTGGAAAAAGGATCCAAAAAGTAGATCGCCTAATATGGGACTCTATGCCACTTTAAGGTCTTCAACCCTAAACCCTACACCCTAAACCCTAAATCCTAAACCCCAAATCCTAAACCCTAGACCCTAAATACTAAACCCTAGAACCTCAATCCTCCGAAACCCTAAACCCTAAACCCTAAACCCTAAACCCTAAACCCTAAACCCTAAACCCTAAACCCTAAACCCCCCACCCTAAACCCAACCCCCCTGACGAGACCTACGTGTTGGAGGCTTCAGGGTTCTTCGGCTCAGCTCCATGATGTACTAGGGTTGAGGCTACCGTTTAGGGTTTAGGGTTTAGGGTTTAGCATTGCTTTAAGGACCTACAGCAAACCCCAGAAAGTTGGAACATGGGTTTCGGGGGATTAGGGCTAGAATCCCTTATGCTTTACCTTAAGGGCATTAGGATGACTTTCTGGCTTCTACTGTAAACTATGGGAGTTACGGTGTATTCTTTACTTGAAGGACTCTAATCTATGGGCATTAGGCCCGCATTACTGTATATTCCTTACTTTAAAGGACCCCCAAACTATGGGAATTATGGTGTATTCCATATTATGGGTAATGCAGGGTTTATGTTATCGACAGTAGGCGGGTTCTGAAGCGATATCTGCAGGGCGCCGTAAGGGGTTTATCATAGGGTCTTATGAGGGGTTTCAGATTTTAGAAGCTTAGGCTTGGAGTTTAGGGTTTATTTCAGGGTGTTGGATTAATGTTTGGAAGCTAGGGTTTAAGTTTTAGGGTTTTGTTTAGGGTTCACCGTTGCGAGCATAGTTTGAGGCCTTGGGATGTCATGAGTTTGAATACCCAAATCTGTAATCGGGTTTGGGCTTGGAGTATAAGGTCCAGTTTAGTAGTTTCGCTTTCGATTCATGAACTCTCCGAACTCAGCACGACTCCTGAAGCTTTGCTAGGTTTCCTCAGTATTGGATCTGTCGTTACTGGGGTTGGGCTCCATGATTGCTGTGTTAGTTTGTGCAGCTGAACTCGGTCGCAATCAACGGTTTCACACGTCCTATGTATAAGCAGGATAACGAAAATGCCTCTTGCAGTGCCCACAGCCTGGGAGGGTTACGGACATGCCCTAAACCGCGAACTATACGCCCAAAACCCTCAAATTTCTGAACAAGGTTCCAGTTCATTTAGGTCCAGGTTCAAGACACCGCCAAAACCCGAACTAAATCCGAAAGCCCTACAACCTAGAGCCCACATTCCAGAGGCACGAAAGATTGGTCTGCTCGCGGCAACTGACATCGAGTCGCTACTGCAGCCGCTGTCCCTCCGACGCACCTACACCCTGAACCCTAAACCCTAAACCCTAAACCTTGAACTCTACCCTTAAACCCTAAACCTTTAACCCTAA